CCATGGAAGCTTCGGACTTGCTGCATAGTAGTGGGGATCGGCCAATCCTTAATGGCTTGGGTTTTCTTCTCATCAACCTTGATTCCTTCACTTGAGATAAAATATTCCAAGAACTCCGTCTCATGAGCAAAGAATTGGCTCTTTTCGAGTTTTCCGTACAGCTTCTCATCGTCTAACTTCTTAATCACCAAAGTGAGGTGATTCACATGCTCTTCTTCGCTTTTGCTATAGATTAGAATGTCGTCAAAGTATACAACGACAAAATGACCTATGAATGGCTTCAAGACTTGATTCATAAGTCTCATGAATGTACTTGGGGCATTGGTTAACCCGAATGGCATGACCAGCCATTCGTATAGCCCGAACTTCGTCTTGAACGCCGTTTTCCACTCATCTCCTTCAAAGATGCAAATTTGATGGTAGCCACTCCTAAGATCAACTTTTGAGAAAATCTTAGACCCGTGTAGTTCATCAAGCATGTCTTCCAAACGTGGGATGGGGTACCGATACTTGATAGTGATCTTATTAATAGATCAACTATCACAACACATGCGCCACGTTCCCTTCTTCTTTGCACCAAGAGTGCCGGGACAGCACATGGGCTAAGGCTCTCCCTTACGAAACCCTTTTCTAATAGTTCATCAACTTGGCGTTGAATTTCCTTCGTCTCCTCGAGGTTCATCCTATATGCCGGTTTGTTTGGTAGGGCAGCCCCCGGGATGAGGTCAATTTTGTGTTGGATGTCCCGCTTAGGTGGGAGGCCGTGTGGAACATCATTGGGGAAAACATGGGCATATTCTTTGAGGATGGGTTCGGCTAAAGGATGGGACTGTTTTGGGTGGTTTGAGGGTTCGGTTTCTCCATCTTCCAATAGGATCAAATCTTTAATCCCATTGAATTCATGTTGTTCGGCTTGTAGGATGGTGGAGATAAGAACAGGGGGTTGCTCTTTGGTTGGTTTGGCCGTGGCTGCAGGAGGGGGTAAAGTTCTTACGAACGTACTCAGCGAGTAAAAACTTCTTCTTCAAGAGGGACCTCATCTTAGTCCAAGTAGACACCGGTTCCTTACCGTTTCTTCTTCTTTTGGTGCAAGTATTGGTCCACCAAGTGGATGCATACTTGCGGAAATTCAAGGCCACTATTTTTACCTTCTTCTCGTCGGAGACTTCTTTGAAATCGAAGACACGTTCCACCGTTTCTAGGCATTTTAAGAACTCGTCCGGGTCATTCATTCCTTCAAAGGTCGGAATGTCCACCTTGAAATCAGAACCTTCATAGACGGGAGCCCTAGTTTTGTTGATGCCACTAGTGCTAGAGCATCATCCTCATGATCACTTCCTTGTAGTGCATTCAGTTTTATCTTGGTAAGTTTAGCCACTTCTTTGGCCAAGTATTCAACTTGGGCCTTCAAGGCTGCATTGGACGCAACAAGCTCTTCGTGGGACATGGGTTGGGATTCATTAGACATGGTTGAAGTGGGAAAAAGGTGAGGAGGGCAGTTTAGTTTGGGCGTGGGGTTTTAGGGTTTTAGGAATGATAGTGAGTGGCCCTTGGGGATGTTCAACACTTAGCTTTGATACCAAATGTTAGGCTCCAACTCAAGGTAAAAAGAGGGGAGAGGGCTGGCCGAAATGGTTGAGGAACAAAGGGGGAGTTGAAGGTGAGTTTGTGAGGGAAATGGAAAGGAAAAAGGGGGTATTTTAAGGGAGAAAGGGTGAGGGACGAATGGGGGCAGTGAAGTAGGTTGTTTAGGCCTTGAATTTTTTCTAAGGAGTAAGAGAAGAGGGGCTGTTATAGAGGGGCAGTGGAGAGGCTGAAATGGAGGAAGAAATGGGGGGAGTTCTTTAGTTGTTTTTTTTCTTTAATGAGGGATAAACCAAGTGGTGTTAAGGGATATTACACACCCTTATCTTACTTAGGGTTGAATCTAGTATTAAAACAAGATATTACACACTTATTTAAATAACTAGAACCTAAAACTCACACTCAAGAGAACCACTCTTAAGATATAGATTTAGGAATTTGAAAAGCAAACACACAAGTGTTTTACTAAGGAAATTTCAGAATACAAGATGTGTTTTACAAGGCCTATGGCCGAAATATATAAGCACACCAAGGGGAGAGGGAAACTTCCTAGTTACATGCACTTATTTAGGGGAATAATGTCCACTTATTTAATGGAATGAAAACAAAGGAGAAGGGTGAGGTTGTGGGGGAGGGTGTTTCGGCCTATTGGGGAGGAAAAGGATAGTGGGTTTTGGGCCAATGTATACAGCCACTAAGATGAATAAAAATGTGTATAATAGGTAGTCCTTTGGCTTGATGTAATGAATGGGATGGGGGTGTTCTTTGGGGGGAATGTTTCGGCCATAGTGTGTGGAAAAAGGGGGAACATGAGACTTGATTATTTGGCTGGACATGGGTACTCTTTTGTGGTGGTATTGGGTGGGTTATGCACGGCCAAGGTGGGGAGCAAGGAAGGAGGAATATGGCAGGCTTATTGGCTTCACATGAGTTGGGTTTTCTTGGTGAAAAATGAACCAATATATGCTGAATTGTCCTTGGCTTGTTATAGTTGTTTATTCAGCTTGGTTGGGGAACATAAGCAGGACCACTGCTAGTACATGTTGGGGATATAATGGGTTGGGTTTTGGATCTTAGTTTTCGGCCATTCAAGGGAAAAGAAAGGGTTTGTGGTTTTAGCATGTGGTTTGAAATGTGATGGGGTGTTGTGGGGGTGTGTGGGTTCGGCCAAGGTAGAAGGAAAGGGGGGAAGGACTTGGGTTTGATTTGGATATTTGGGGGGGTTCGTTTTGGGTGGTATTTTCGGCCATCAAGGTGGGGGAAGGTCCAAAAGGACTAGGGTTGGGTTGTATGGTTTAGGGGTGATATATTCATTCTAAAAAGGATTAAAACATTTGGACATTATTGGTGTATAAACAAATTCCTGAACCCCCAGTAACAATAATTGGCCCCCATATAGTAGGAGGGGAAGAAGACTTCACAAACAGGAGTTTGAGCCTTCAAGGAGTCCGAGCTTCATGCCCGACTATAGAAACTATAACTTACATCGGCTATGAGGCATCAGAGGGCCTTCCAACTAGAACATCCGTAACAGTAATTAGAAGATAGTTGTGTACAAGCTCATTTTTATGAAAATACACCCTCCGTCCACATTTAAAGTTCCCGTTTTGACCGGGCACAAAGTTTAATAAAAGTTATAATTTACATTGACTTTCCCAAAATACCCCTCAACCTTACCCACAGCTCCCACTGTTCCTGGCCAAGTCTTGCAGCTTATCCCATCGTCCGGAGAGAAATTCCGGTGACTCAAAACCTGTGAAATCGGGTCAGCGAGAATTTCCAGCCATCGCATCCGGCGAATTTCCGACTCAAGCCCTGCGAAGAGTTCTGAAGGAGATGAAGAAGATGACAAAGATTTGAATCGAACTTCTTCATCCACGCTGAAGATGGATCTGATTCACATATCTGAATTCGGTTTTTCCAGATCCGACGCATAAGTAGTAGAAGAAGAATAGAAACACCAAATCGGAAGGGGGGAAGAAGAGGAAGAAGAAAAAGAAGAAGAAGAAGAAGAATAGAAAGGAAAAATCAAAATGGGGGAAGAAGAAGAAGAAGAAGAAGAATCGGAAGGAAATGAAAAAGATGAAGAAAATAAGGGGGAAAAAGAAGAAGGAAAAATCTGAAAAAGAAGAAAAAACGAAAAAATCAAGTGGAAGAAGAAAAGAGATAGAAGGAAAGAAGAAGAACCAGAAAAGAGAGATAGAAGGGTAGAAGATGAACGGAATAGAAGGGAAAAAAGAAAGAAAAAAAGGAGAGAAGAAAAGGAAGGAGAGAAGAAAAGTAAAAGATAAAGAAGGGTATTTAAGTCTTTTTTATGAAAAAAAGTTACCAAAAAAGGAAATGGGAACTTTAATTGTGGACATCCAAAAAAGGAAAGTGGTAACTATAATTATGGACGGAGGGAGTAAAAGACTTGAAGATAAATATCATTTTGTATGCATAAAAAATAAAATGGTGCAACAAACACATCTCGTGACACAAACATGATGCATTTGAATCTTGTGCATAGTGAATTTTCTACAAACATTGATGCATATAAAATGTTCTATGCTTGTAGATTCTTAAAAGGGCTCGACACGACACTGTACAATGTTGTTTGCATCTCACCTAGTAACCACATGGTCTTTACCCCTTTGCTTGCTTCAACTTGAGTTGGAACCCTGATTTTGGCAAAAGACCCCACTTCATATTTCTTTTTTACCAAATGCACTAGTACTGATACCAAAAAACATAAGGCAAGTTTTACCAATTGACCATTGTTTTTCATAACAACAATTTGATGTCACAAATATTATTATGATTATTCTATGTCTTAGATATGCACTCTGAATTTCAGTATGTGCATCAGTTCATGAACATGATTTCTTTGTCATCTTTAGCTTCTACTTAGTAAATGAAAATAAGTAGCGATTTTATGTTAAATCTTTCATTTTGTGTAGATGAGTCTTCGCATATATATATATATATATATATATATATATATATATATATATATATATATGAATATAAATTTGTTTTTATCTAATGATGGTGTGGTTTAATCCTAAAATATGTATTTCTCACTCTATGTCGAATATGCACTATGGGTTCCTTAATATGCATCAGTTATTTGCTTTTGAATATATATAAATTCAGGTTTGAGAGTAGTTGACGAAATAGATTTTTTTAGTTTCTGTCAAATCTTTGCTTAAATAGATATCTATACTATTTGTTAAATTTTTGGACATTCACCTCATTCATGGACCTTTTCTTCATCTGTTATGCACAAAATATATATTTACCCGTTTTTTCACAAATAAGCACTTTGGACTCTTTAATATGCATGTATTAAGTAATATGCACTTTATTTTTTGGTATTTTTCTTGCTTCACTGTTAGTTTCACTACACATTTTATAGATGGTTGAGTAGAATAAGGCTTGTTGTTATTCATTGGAATTTTTAATCAATTGGTGCATTTTTCAAAAGCTAGCGACATAATTCTGTGGAACAACTAGTCATAGTCTTGCCATGCACCACAGAGAATTCATGGTGCATTGTAACATGTTTTGCGTTGTAAAAATTTAATGAACAAAGTGAGTATAGATTTTTGTTATATTGCATTATCAACATTGAAGTAATGCATTTACACGATAAGACTATGCATTCTTAGAATATAGGAAAAGTTAATTCATTCAATTATTGTGCATTATCAAAATCAAAGTAAAATTCATCTATCATATGATGAAATTCTTTTGATACAAATATGATGCATTTTATATTCTAGAAAGTGATCGTCTAGAAAATGACGATGCATTTAAAATGTTCAATAATACATCTGGATATAGGTTAGAAAAACTTTCAAAGATGCAAATTATATATATAAATTCCGTCTTTAATAGGTCAAAGTACAAGATGGGAGTATCTTTGAACAACATATTATTGCCTATTAGCTCAAATGGTAGAGTGGTATATACTACAGATGTGAGTTCGAATCCTACATAGGCAAAGTATTTCTCAAATTGGCATTACACTTTTGAATACAAAGGATTCTCATGTTTTCACGTCACAAATAAAGTCACCCAGGAGTCATTATTCACCTAATCATAAATCGAAAAAATAAAAGATGAATAAAATTTAAAGGACAAATCAGTATAACATAATGCATATATCAATAATCATAGTGCATTCACGTTAGAAATGCGATAAAAAGATTATATCAAAAAGAAAATTGTTTATAAATTTAACTTTTCTTACTTAGAAATGCGAAAAAAAGATAATATCAAAATTTTATATTCAATATTGATGCCGTTGTATAGATCTCGACGAGAGATTTTTAACGGTATATTATTTGTCAAAGATAACTTGTTTGTAAAAAATTAAGTTGAAAATAAAGAGCAGTGCATTATAATAATTAAATGAAATGAACTAAATATTTTAATGACAAAATGGGTTGTTGTAAGTCCAGCAAATGAAATACTCCATATAACTTTCCTTTTTCACGCATGTACGGAGTATTTCGTATTAGCTCACTAACCATTATGCCCCCAATAATTGATTGCTTCCTAATTTTTAGAAGTTTAGTAGTTACTTTACAAAATTAAATTCATTGATGTATTAAATGCATTGTTGAATCTTGGCCATCTGATGCACCCAATCCAACGAATGAATATTATTCTTATTTCTTTCACCAAACACCATTCTCACAGAAACCAAACCCTGTGTGTGTGTGTATAGTTTTCATATATCATAATGTCAGAATATTTATTTCTTTAAGTTATACTTAATTTTTTGTCAAAGTGCGTAAAAGTTTGATAAAAAACAGGATAATTTTTTTGGAGCACAGAGTGTTATTTTATCAATTTACAAAGTTTATCATATAGATAGTGAATTGAATTTTTATATTTGGATAGTAGTATATAAATGACCCAAAAATGCTTTAAGCCCCTGTAAAATATGCAAGTTTTGGTTTTGATCCCTTAATTATATTGTTCTTGTTTAAGACATCCTTACTTATTTTTGAAAATGAATTTTGAGCGTAATTGGTACTTGTAATTAGTTGATATAACACATTTATTTCATACCCTGCATTTCTAAATAGCTATATATAACACAATTCTCAAGCTCTAAATTGTGTCGTTATTTATATTTCATCTCCAAATGCCAAATTTTTTGAGAATATGATACTCCAAATTTTAGAATTGAAGATGTAATTTAGAATAAAGGACATTAGAGCATGAAAATTGTCTAGGTTAATAAAAAATGCAAGACTAACATTTTAAATATGTAAAAAATGTGATATTTCAACAAATTAGAAATCTTAATTACGATTAGCTACAATTATTTTGTTTTCACAGGTGTTGTCCAAAACAAAATGGAGTAAGTGCATAGAATTATGAAATATTGTTCATGTCATGAGGTTGAGAAAAAAAGGGAAGAAGAAGCAAAAGTGTTGAAAAATCTAAATTCCCCACCCCCCCTTTTTCCATCCCCATCGGAGACGCAGTTGAAATCTCCCCACCACCATCTCCTCACCACCTTCAAACACAAAACAACAACAATAATAATATACCATGAACCTCATTACCAATAAGGTCAATAACAACACAAGCCGACACAACCTTATCGTTTCGTCCTCCCGGACCAACAACAACAACAGCAACGGCGGTGGCTCCCAGGCCTGCGCGGCTTGTAAGCACCAACGCAGAAAGTGCGCCCCTGATTGCATCCTCGCCCCCTATTTCCCCCACGACCGCCAACGCCAATTCCAAAACGCCCACAAGCTGTTCGGTGTCAGCAATATCTCCAAGATCATTCGTCCTCTTAGCCCTTTCCACAAGGACGAGGCCATGCGCACCATCATCTTTGAATCCGATGTTAGAGCAGTCGACCCTGTCGGTGGCTGCTACACCATCATCCGCCACCTCCAGCACCAGATCGACCAAACTCAAACCGAGCTCGACCTCGTCCACCATCACATCGCCTACTTTCGTTCCCTACACCAAGTCGCCAATACCAAAAACAACAACAGTCATAATATCAATGTCAACAACAAGAACAACATTTTTGGCCCATTAAAAGAGGAATGGTGTGATCAACCACCCAACATGATGCCAACGAGCGTTGTATACCCTCCCACCCACCAACATAATAATCATCATCAACAAGAATACCTGGTCTTTCAGAACAGCGAAATCGATTTGATAAGGAACAATGATGTTGCATGGGGAGTGTATAGTCGTGAGGATATGCCTATATCGTCGGCTGAAGTTCCAATAATGCCACAGCTCTCTAATGAAAATGATAGTGGGTCGTGTGATATTGTGAAACCAATTCTTGATTTGCCTTGTTATGTACCAGTAGAAGAATTCACTTTCGGCACAGACGATACACATGATGAAAGGTACACGTGATGAAACCAATTCTTGATTTGCCTTGTTATGTACCAGAGAATAATTCAACTTATTCTAGCAGTGAGATATCTTTAAAAATATTATTCTTGTGTTGCAGTGATGAGGCTATTGTAATGGATCAAGAAAAAGAGGCATTGGACGAACAAGAAGACAGCCTTTCAAACATGCTCCAGATCATGATCTAATTAAAAGTGGCCTACCACAGTGCCAATTGATTTTTATTTAAATACAAATACTATTATTCCTCATGTTATTAGCAAGCAATTCACGATATATAGTTAAGCTTGGGAGAATTATTGTTTGTGAAATTTTCTGCATATAAGAGTAAAATATAAGGAGTACTCCCTTTATCCCAATTGATTCTTTTTATTATTCATGCCGTTGAATTATTGTATTTTTTTTATATATTTTAATCTATCAAATAAAATAATATAATCATGCATAATCTTATTATGTTTTACCTTCATCACTGAGTACTCCATATTTGTCAAGTTCTGACTCTTTTTAGTCAACCATTTTCAATATTTGACCTATAATTAAATATACTATATATTGTATATTAATTAGATAAAATAATATTTTGAAAAAAATATTTGGTTTAGTAAATCTAATAAACCTATTTTTGTATCAATATCTAATATCATTATTATTTAATTTGAGGTCAAAGTTTACTATTTTGACCAAAAACATCAAAAGTGGAAAAATACTTAGGGACGGAGGGAGTATAGATCTTTTTATATGTTTTTTTAAATATATAAATTTTAATTGTATACTACTACTAAATCAATTGAATATAAAATAATTTATATAAAACGTCATGGGTTAAATATGTTTTTAGTCACTGTAAAATATGTGATTTCTGTTTTTGGTTTGTGTAATTTTTTTATTTAAGTCATCCTTACAGAACAAATTATATTGAAAATGGTTCATAAACATAATTAACATTTCTCATTAGTCTTGCATTTCCAGTCATTTTTCACACAATTCTCAAGCCTAAGTTGTATCCTTATTCATATTATATCTCCAAAGTCCAAATTTAACGGGAGTATATCTTTTTTTAAATTTGGGAATTGAGATGTAATTGGATGAAAAACATAATCTATAACATGAAAATTGGGTATGAGATAATTAGAAATTCAAGACTAAGGTGTTGAGTATAAAATGAATGTTATATCTTAACAAATTAGAAGTATTGATTATGTTTAAGGACCATTCAAAACAAAATTGTGAGAATGATTTAAACAAAAAGAATTACAGAGACTAAAACACAAAACTCGTTTATGGAAAATGATATACCCCGGGTGACTACCAACGACTCTAAAGTCGTTAAACAAATTAATGGAATAATGGCTAAGTGTTACGATCCCTTTTGGGCCGAACTTATCAGTTATAAAACCCACAACAAAGCCATAATATCCCTGAGCCCAACACCCATCTAAAACCAAGTCTCCCTCTCCCAAAAACCAAATCCCAAAATATCCAAAGATAACCCAAAACCACATTTCTTTCCTCACCTCTGGACGAAAAACACCCAGCCCAAACTCATTCCATAACCACACTTTTGATTCCCCAACTAGGCTGGGCAAACAATCACTAAAAACCAAGATACATTGTCCCACAACCACACCCTTCAAACCCCCCTTTTATCTCACCATATTCTGCCCAGGAAATGGCTCCAAATAACCAGCCCTACCACCTTTCTCCTGCCCAAATTTAACCACACCAAAGCCAATCAATTTGTGAATTATACTCACATATTCCATCCCACCATTTATGACCAAAAAAACCTACCCTACAAGTACAACCCTTCCTGAATTTTCTCCCCACCAAAGGGACACCAACAAGTGGCTATTATTCCTTTTAATTTGTGTGAATAAGAGACTTGGTAGTCTCATCTTTTTTCCTATATAAGCTCATCCCTGGGCATTGCATACATATTATTGTATTCCCATTTTCAACATAGTAATACACTTGTTTGTGTGTGCTATTTTAAATTCCTAAATCTATATCTTAAGAGTGGTTCTCTTGAGTGTGAGTTTTAGGTTCTAGTTATTTAAATAAGTGTGTAATATCTTATTTGAATGCTAGACTCAACCCCTAGTTAAGATAAGAGTGTGTAATATCTCTTAACACCAACTTGGTTTGCTCCCCTTTCCCAAAGAATACTTTTTTTCCTTTCCCGAGCCGCCCAATAGTCGATTATCACTTTTGACAATCGAGTATCCAGCCTTTCACAAAACCCCCGTAGCCTTCAATAGTCGACTGTCAATCTTAGACAATCGACTATCAGCTTCCTCAGAAAAATTTGCAGTCCATAATAGTCGACTGACACCACCTGGTCAATCGACTAACTATCTCTCCTGAAACTCCCAAAAATTCTCCCGAGAAACTGAAGCACCTGTTAGTCGAGTATCACACCAGGATAATCGACTATTCCTCTTCCCTGTAGTTTAAGGAGCTTTGTTCTTAAACTTAAGCTTAACCCCAGAGCTTGGGTAGAACAGAAAAGAATTCCAACAAATGACTCGACTTTGGAGACGGATTGAGTTATTTAAAATGATTATCTACAGCTTGAGAATATAGAACTTATGGTATTGAATTACTAGGTTTAGCTTGAGGGTTCCGATGCACTACTACAAAAAAGACCTTTTAAATCGGTTATTTTGACCCTTTTAAATCAATTTTGTACTGATGCAAAATCTAGCGAAGCAAATACTCAGGTTACTTTTTGCATCGGCTGTTTAAACCGATGCAAAAGCCCTCCCCAGAAATGGCGCACATTCTGGGAAGAGGCTTTTTGAATCAGTTATTACCAAAGAACCGGTGCAAAAGCTCCTTCCCAGAAATGGCATCATTTTTGGGAAGAAGTATTTGAATCGGTTATTTGGTAATAACCGATTCAAATGCCTAAGCTTTTGAATCGTTTATTACCAAATAACCGATTCAAATAATTAATTTTTTCAAAAGGTCTATTTTGTTTGCTTCTGATCCACTACATTTAAACTTTGCAGAAAATTCTGTGCAAAATATACAGATTTAACAACATCAAGAATTCAAGCCATCAACACAACAGTAACTAACACAAATGCCTTCACAAAACTCAAATGCCACAAAATAAATTAAACCAAAAAAGTAAACATTTGCATCCACCACTTGTACATCTTAAAAAAATATAAGAGTAAAAAAACTACGTACTCTTCTAAGTTTTAACAACACAACTAAAAGTCAAACAACTACACTGTACTCTACAAGCTTACATTTAATACTATACAATACAACACAAATTATACTTACACAAGTTCATTGAGAAAACCCCCCCACCCAAAACTCTCTAACCTCCTCTAATTCGGCTCTAGTATAAGGCGTAGTAGACTGAAATACCTGCAATACTAAAACAACATACGACATAAAGTTTAATAATCATTACCCTACACTTCATTACTTTCAAAAACACACTAAAACAAACTTACATCGGATAACGGTACAGAACATTGTGCACACATATTGACGATGAGCCAACAAAATCGCATGGTATAATAACCACACTCAACGTTCCCTTCTTGTTGGGGTACTCCGGGAACATCAACCCAATCCGGTTGAGCCTTAAGCTGAGGCATGTGCCGCTCCTGATGTAACCGCCAAGACCTTTAATATATGTAAAAAACAAATTAATAAGAAATTAATATCTTAACAAATAAAAAATTTCATTAATAAGAAATAAATTTCTTAATACTTACTCGTTGACGAAAGTCTTCACCTTCATTTTCTTATGTCCTCCGGTCGCCTTGATTGAGTTTAGGAATTACACTTTGTTTTCAAACAAACGTATTACAACTAACACCCAATGATGTCTACAATTGAAAAAGCGTTAGTCACTAACTTAAAATAAAAAACCAAAATACATATTGGAAATGATTTAGAAAACATACGATGTCGATAAATACAACGGCATAAGTATCCAGGGTCGCGATTGATAGGTCTCGAGTGCTCTATCTAGATACTAGAGATCTCCAAAATCTACCACGTATGCCACGTTCTCCGAACATAACAACCCGACAGACGCGATGTCGTGCTCCATCATATGATCGTGCAACAATCTAGTAATTTCACATGTAAACAATAAATACAATTATAAGAAATAATTATAATTATAATAGTAATTTATTCGTACGTAGTGCTTGACATACCTCAAGCAAACAATGATGATGGTCTGATCGACCTCCTCCCAATGAATGAACTCACGTATATTCGTCGGACGCATCCTCAGCTCAGTCTCCTCCGGATAGAGCATGGACTCGGGATCGAGAATTGTTTGAATAAGTGACCAACGCTAGAGGGGGGGTGAATAGCGTTTGATCGTAGAAATCGCAGGAATAAAAAAAAACTTAAAAGAGAAGTAAAGAGAAGAGTAAGAGGCACACCAAATTTTACCCTGGTTCACCACAACGTGTGGCTAATCCAGCCTCCCGAGAGACTCTCTCGAGCTACACTACTTCCGTTAAGCTTACGGGTGCTTAACAAACCGTTACAACCTGAGAACTCGAGTCCCACGAGCCTCAACAACACTTGCTCGGAGATACCGCACTCCAAGACTTCAACCCGAAGGAAAATACCTTTCCTTCGTACAACCAAGGGAAACAAGCTTCCCTAAACGTGTTTACAACACTAAGAACACTCAAGAACAAGACTCTCTTTAAGAGTAGATGTTGAGTAAACTATATACGCTCAAGAACAACTCAAACTTCACAAATTGGCTCTAAAAAGCTATGGAAAATAATGTTGTTTGGATGCAATGATAATATGAATAAAGTGAAGTGAATTGATGAGAAAAGCAGACCCAAACACCCCTTTTTATAGTGCCAAAAAAGGCTCCAACGGACCAATACATTAAAGGGGTGATTGGCTTGATTTATGGGATTGAAAAGATTTGGGATCTGCAGGATATTGGCTTCCCATCGATGTTTGGAACTTACCCATCGCTGGTAAGCCAATTTTCCTTCAGTTTTGAAGCCAACGGTTCCTACCCATCGAACCCATCTACGAAGGGTAGCGACCCACCCTCCAACTGAAAGTTTATTCCTTTCTTAGTCGGAATTTACTGAGCGTTGCCAGTACGGATTGGTAGCTACCAATTCGGAAGGGTAGCGACCCAAGGGTAGCTACCCATTTCGAAGGGTAGCGACCCATTCCCGTAAGACGGAACACCATTACAACGTGGAAGGCTTTAACAACGATGGGTAGAACTTCCCATCGCTGTTTGGCATGGTTCTGGAAATCAGTTTCGTTGAGGGACTGCTTACCCATCGATGGGAAGATCTTCCCATCGTTGGGTGGCATGATTCTGGAATCCCGGGATCACTTACCCATGCATGGGTAAACTCTACCATCACTGGGTAGATGGCTAGCCCAGAACCATGGCCTAGCCGACCGGCGCTCAAACCCGACCGAAACATGCAAAGTTCTCCAAAGTAAAAAACTAAGTATTTAAAACACTTATTTAATGTATTTGGCTAAGAAATAAAGTGAGACACTTTAAAAATCACGTCATTTGAGTAAAAACCACGGCTAGCCATGTTTACGCAGTTTTGCGTGGTTTTTGTCAAACGACTAAAAGCGAGAGATGGTTTTCAAAGTGTTTTTGTTGGAGAACCGTTTAAACATGCCAAAGAGTGAAAGCAGATCATAAAATGCTGAAAACCACTTGGTTGGTTCGGATGCCAAAAACCAAACCCGACAACCGAAAGCCGAACGCTGGTTTCTGAAAGCCGAGCACTGGATGGCTTGGTTTTTGGTTTGGGCGAACACCAAGTGTTTTTAATGACTTAAACAAGTTTAAAACCATTTTTATGATGTAAGAAATGCAATGAGAGTTTTTAGCCTAAAGAGCCAAGGTGTAAAGATTGGGTCGGTCTTGATCACAATAAAGACCGACTCAATACTATGATTAAGGTCTTCGTTCTTGGTCTTCGTTTAGATCTTGCTCTTATCTTCGTTCTTCGCCTTGTATATTCAATGTTCGACTTGATCACGGCGGTTTGGCATTATCAAAACCTGTTACAAAAACGAACACGGCTTTCGTACGAAAACGTGACAAGCTCGTGTTTCAACAAGAATGACGCTGATGGTAGGCAAAGCAGATGTGCGTGTCAGCCACTGACACAACTCTCTACACCTCGACCCGAATGCAACGTATGAGCTCCGGTCAATAACATCATGTACGGGAGAGCTAGGAGCCGTGGGACGTACGCCGAGAATGGGACGAGATTTGCTTGATGAGAAGTCACCATGTCGAGCCGTCTGCAATGGGGGCTACGAATATTTTCAAAAAAAATGATATATGAAACACAGCCCAAATGATGTTGAATAAAAAAGAACTAAATTTATTTACTTCTTACATCTCCAAGGCCCACCAACGACTTTGGCCATGCAACGAAGCTCCCCTCGCAATCGGCCACAGTCTCTATATGCTCAGCCGGACAAGAAATGGTATATTCCCCCATTCCAGGAAGCACAAGGGTCACAAAGACCTTAACCTGGTGGGGAAGGAGGGGAACACCGTGCACCATATCTCCTAGTGCACGTGGGAAAACCGATCCATGTGCCACTATGTAATCCGCTGGATCACAGATCCTCATGATGACCCAACTTTTGAAAATTCACTAATTTAAACCCCATGTCATCTGATTTAATCCCCTTGTTGATATCCACCCATTTACACCGTAAAACAGGAATTGTGAAATTTGTATATTCGAGTTCCCATATATCTTCGATCAAGCCATAGTATGTTTTGTATGACCGGATCAGTGTCGAATCTTTACCCCTAAGAATTTGTAGAGAAGAAGCATTCAAGGACACACCGCTATTCTGTACTGTACTCTTCTCATCCTGACGTTTTGTGTAAAAATAATAGTCATTGATGTAGTACCCCTCGTAAGAAGATACATTTACCGACGGTCCTGTAGCTAATGATCGCACATTTTCTGTGACATTATGAGGAGAATGTATTGTTTGCCAGCGAACATGCTCTTAAAACCATTTTAGAAATATACGATTGTGCTCATTGGTCAAGCACCTCTCAGTTTTCCCGGGGTTCTGTTGTCTTAAAAGAGACATGTGTTTCTCTAAATACGGACGAACATCATCTGTTTGTTGTAAAATATAGAGTTGTGCTAAACTGAACATTTCAGAGTCAAGATGGATGATGTGATGTCCTATTGTTCCTTTCCCCTCAGCTCTACCTTCATGCCAAGACTTTGGTACCCCAACCGTGCACTCCAAATCCAAATACTTACTACAGAATTCAATAATCTCTTCTACCAAGTATCCTTCAACAATACTACCCTCAGGTCTATACCGGTTCCTCATACATCTTTTCAAAATACCCATAAATCTCTCTATTGGATACATGTACCGAAGAAAAACAGGGCCACAAAGTTTAACTTCTCTCACCAAATGCACAACTAAATGGACCATGATATCAAAAAATGATGGAGGAAAGAACATCTCAAATTCACATAAGGTGACTACCACTTCCTCTTGTAACTGATCCAACGTTTCAGCATCAATGACCTTACTACAAATGGCATTAAAAAAAAACAAAGTCTAGTTATTGTCCCCCTCACATTCGTTGGCAATATTGATCTAATTGCCACTGGCAAGAATTGTTGAATTAAAACATGGCAATCGTGAGATTTAAGACCGTTCAATTTCAAATCCTTCATCGACACACGACTCTTAATGTTTCCAGCATACCCTTGTGGAACCTTTATATCACGTAGACATTGACGAATGGAAAGCTCACCAACTACCAATGCAAAGCTCACCAACTGTCAATGCAAAGCTCACCACTTTTTTTAAATAAAAAAAAGTTAAAAAATAGCACTACCAGTCAACCACCAGTCCACGGCGACAGTGGGGGTCATCGATGGTGGCCATTGGTCATGGGCGGTCAAAGTGTAAAGCTCACCAACTGTCAATGCAAAGCTCACCGACTGACAATGGAAAACTCACCAAGGAACAATAAAAAGCTCAACACTTTTTTTAAAAAAAAAGCTAAAAAAATTGCACCACTAGTCAACCACCGGTCCACGGCGGTAGTCTACAGCGGTTGGAAGCCAGCACCACCACCCTTTGGAAAATCATGGTGAGCTTATATATATATATATATATATATATATATATATATATATATATATATATATATATATATATATATATATATATATATATATATATATATATATATATATATTTATGTATGTTCTGTTTTCAACGAGAGTTACACTATTTTTTCCAACTATACCCGGGTTGTGATGATCTAATTGATTGTTATTCAAAGGGCAATGAGGGTTTTTTATATGCACGAGTTTCATAATCTCAACCTTGAATTTGAGTGACAGATGCCTTGAAATGGAGTGTGTATATTAGTTATTTATGAGATAAACAATAGAAGAAGTGACAGAGAGATTCCATGATTTTCTTCAATGCACAATGGCAAACTTGTAATTCTTTTGGTTCAAATAAGAATGAAATCTAATGAAAGAAATAAGAATAAATCTAAACCGTTAGATCTAATAAGTCTTTGAGATCCTATCCATTTTCTTATAGGGTTATATAAGTCTTTGAAGACCCGAAATCAGCTTCCGTTCTCCCCAATTTACGGTATCCTTTTTTCGTCTTCCAGTGACGGAACAGCCGGAACAGATAGGCAAGCTACGGCGCTCTGACTTCTCTCCATCCGCCATATCAGCGGTGTGATCTCCCTCCGATTGAATTTCACTGAGACCTCATATTTCAATCCGAAAATGCTCGGTAATTCCATCAGTGCCAAATTCATAGTTGCAAAGATGACACTGGAATCACTAGTCCAGAATTTATATTTGCCTGCTACATGGGCTTTTGTGTGATTTAATTTGGAAAAGCATTGTAAGGCACTATGTGTTTGTTCACTTTGTTGATTTCACATTCAATCGAGAAATTTAGTTTCGAAAAATTGCCACTCTCAATTATATAAATCTCTGTATGGTGCTCTCAAATTATAGGACTAGTAATTTTAGTATCGAGATCCATTTTGGAGACACGTAGTGCATCTTTTCATGTGCATACTGCATTTTAAAATGGTTTGATGATATATTTACCATGTTGCATTTCTTATTTTTTGGAAAAATAACAGTATGAAAAATTAATGTATATTTTCCATGCATTTTGCATTTTGTATTGGATTCATGACGTATGTACCCATTTTCACTTCTTATTTTTTTGTATTATCAGTCTAGAAGCATAGTGCATCTTTCAATGCACATATTACATTTTTGTACTGGTTTGTGATATATGTACCAAGATCCATTTATTATATTTGGTAAAAATGACAGTCTAAAACTTAGTGCATCCTTTCATGCACATTTTACATTTTGTGTTGGGCTCATGATGTATGTACCCATTTTCATTTTTTTTGTAAAATCTGTCTGGAGGCATAGTGCATGTTTCAGTGCACGTATTACATTTTTGTACTGGCTAGTGATATATGTACCAAGATCCATTTATTATATTTGGTAAAATATCGGGGTTCAAGTGACACCGGAGTACGGTGACACTCCGGTGCCACTGTCATTTTGAGCACTTTGGTGCCACTGTCATTTTGAGCACTTTTGGTGCTCCATTCTAAAAATTGACGGTTCCTACCCCCCAACTCACCCCTAAACTTCCCACCGTACTCCAATCCCGTCGTAAGTCTCCCACTAAATGTGTGGCTATTGTGGATTGCATAATAATCACACATTTTGTGGGAGGCTTACGGCGGTGTAGGGTGGGGGTGTGAATGGATTTTTGGATGCATTTTTGAGGGATTGAATTTTGTATATAAGTCTGTAGTAATCCAGTTCATGATGCACTATAAATTTAAAAATGCAAGGCTTTGAAAGTTCTTTTATTATATTAATGCATTTTGGGTGCTTTGATATGACACAATCATAGTCTAAGATGCACTATGACTATTTTTAGAGAGGTTATGTATGTGATCATGTGCTTCATTGTTTCTTTATTGATTATGTTTATTACTCTCTCCGTCCTAAAACTTTCTTCCCAGAGCACTATTCCAACTTCACGTGAATTTATATTTATTTGTGTTTTTTCATGGCCTATATGATAAAATAAAATATTCTTGTCACCACTTGTTTTGTTGAACTTTTGATGTAGTTTTTAAATATGTATGTTTTATCTTTTATTTATATACCAATATTTAAATAAAACAGATTGAAAAAACTTGGGATTTTTCTTCGTTTTGTGCAACGGAAAGAAAGATATAGGACGGAGGGAGTAATATGGTATTTATTATTGCACACTCTGTACGAGATGCTAATGTAACATGTAGTTAGAACTTCTACACGTGAATATGAAATATATGTAGACATATGCATTTAGTTTTTCAAAGTGTGCACTTGGGTTGTTGAAATGTGAACTCTTCCAATCTACCCTTCATCATAGTTTTGACAAAGTTACAAGTTACTCTATATGAGAATGCTCACATTATGAAAACCTAAGTTCATATATTTTTTTGCCTATACCATGTGGATTTTTTGCCATTATTAAGCATGTGCTCTTTGATGCAACTGGAAATCATATTATAAATGTTTACACTTGTGTAGAGGGACCTGATATACTATTGGAATCCATTATACAATTTTATATATTTTATTTTCGCACAATATTACATTTTTTATCTAGATGGTAGTGCATCTTGCAAATACTACATTGCCTTATTAGTCTTTTTGTGCAGGATCAATTTTACAGTTTTCAAGGACTTAAAGATTCCATATTGAAGCGGAAAGTCAAAAGTCATAAACGAAAAGAAGAAATTCCTCAAGAAACATATCAAAATTTACCTTTCTAGTACAGCCAATGAATGGACATATTATTGTGTGGTGTGCTTTTTATTTTGATTACTTTCCAGTGATACAAATTTTGAATATTATTAAGAAACAAGATGAATGATACAAATTTTGAAAGGATGTATGTTCACATTCTCTGTTTTCATGCATCATTAGATTAAAAGTAGTGCATTTTAAACTCGAATGCAATGCATTCTCACAATCAATATAAATTATAGTGCATTTTATTACTTTGCATTCTCAGAATCAAAGTTGTTGATTCGATCTAATGGTGAAATACTTCTTGACAAAAATATGATATATTTCTATATTCTTTTATAATTAAAAATATGTAAACGATGATGCATTTAAAATGTCCAGGGATACCTTTTGATTCTTATTAAGAAATACGATGAATGTATCAATAGTCACAGTGCATGTATCAATAGTCACATGTTCTCTCATAACATACAAAATCACACATAAGTCATTATTAGCCAATCAAAGAATTGATAGAATAACATCCGAATAAAATCTAAAATACAAATTATAGTGCATGTATTAATAGTCACAATGCCAATATTGGTAATCACAATGCATCTCCGAGATGAATTTGGAAAAGTGAGATATTGAAAATTATTTCTGAAATTACATGCATTTTTAACTATATACTCCCTCCGTCCACAAATAAACTTTACGTTGCGTGTTACGATGTTTGACTGAAGTTATTTTTAAATCATTTATATAAAAAATGGTGTAAAATTTTAAAATAAAAATCACATATTAAAAAACTATATCAAAAGATCTACAAAACTAGAGGTGACATGACTATATTATTTTATCAAATGGGTAACGAAAATAGACTAACAAAGTGAATAAAGTTTGACCTTGTGAATAGTGAACGTAAATTTTATTTGTGGACGGAGGGAGTACTTCAAAATAATCTTGGAAACTTGCTATTTTATTCGTGCAATGAGTGGAGTAGTGATTGGCGGACTTTTAGGCACAACCCATTAGCTACTTTAATGCATTATTGTTTTTACAAATTTGGCCCTGGATATTAATTGTCCCCTATTTTAGTGCGCATGAGTTGTTCTTTACCATAAAGAACACGGAAGTTGAAGATCCAGGCCTATAAAATCTTAGTCGTTCGAATGGGTAACGAAATATCTGTATTAGATCTAAAACATGGCGCCATAGTCTAATAAATATGGTAAATGATTCATGCCCATAAATTTATGAACGGAATATGTGTATAGGGGCATTTTTGTAAGTTTGATAATTGATACACACGTCACAATTAGTGGAGCCATAAGTGTAGAAGTATTAATAGTTATCTTATTCATTATTTCTTTTTAAATCATGCACCTTATTAATGCAGAGTAGTTGTCATCCTGAGTATTGATGATTATTTCTCTTTTTTAATTTGTAAAACATTTTTCTGAAATAAAAATCAATTATAAATAATTTCTACTATTGAACTCTTTGTAGTATTTTATTTTTTTTCTTAATGATATGCATTTTTCGTGGTGCAAGAGATTTATTTATTTGTATTTTTTTAAAACAAAAAATATGTGGTCTACAATTTTTTTTTCATTTTCAAAAATAATTCATTCCCCCATCTTTTTTTTCATCCCTTGTTTTCACATTTTTAAATGCTTAATCACGCAATTGTGGTGCACTTGACAATGATTTTAGTTATTTAAAGGAGATTAAGATAGTTTTTCTCGTGTGATAGTTTTTTATTTATATGCACCATTCTCATATATAGATGCAATACGTTTTGTAAACTGTGCACGCATTGTGATTACCGGTATATGCACTATAACTTGTCCTTTATATTTTATAAAAAATCATTCAATTTATTTTTGGATTGGAGAAAATGACTCATAAGTGGCTTTATATGTGATGAAAAAAACTAAGAATGCATTGGTTTGCCAAGCAACAAGAGAGGGAGGGTTGTGATGTTGAATGGGAGTTACAAGTTTGTGAAGGAGGTGTTAGAATAAAAGACCAACGCTAGAGGGGGGTGAATAGAGTTTGATCGTAGAAATCGTAGGAATAAAAACTTTAAAGGAGAATTAAAGAGAAGAGTAAGAGGCACACCAAATTTACCCTGGTTCACTACAACTTGTGGCTAATCCAGCCTCCCGAGAGACTCTCTCGAGCTACACTACTATATCGTTAAGCTTAACGGTGCTTAACAAACCCTTACAACTTGAGAATTCGAGTCACACGAACCTCAACAAATCCTTCGAAGGAAACAACCCTTCCTTCGAATCAAACAAGAGAAATACTTTCTCTCAACGTGTCTTAGAAACACTAATGCACTCAAGAACGAGACTCTCTTTAAGAGTAGATCTTGAGTAAACTAAATACGCTAATGAACAACTCAAACTTCACATGAATTGAGTCTAGAAAGCTATGGAAAATGATGTTGTTTGAATGCAATGAAAGTATGAATATTGTGAAGTGAATTGGTGTGTAAAGCAAACCCAAACACCCCTTTTTATAGTGCCAAAATAGGCTCCAATGGACCAAGGCATTAAAGGGATGATTGCTTGATTAAAATGTGGATCTGCAGGATATCGGCTTTCCCAGCGATGTATGGACTTACCCATCGCTGGTAAGCCAATTTTCCTTCAGTTTTGAAGCCAATGGTCACCTACCCATCGATGGGTACATGCTTCTTATCGCTGGGTGGGAGGTTGACTTCCAAACAAGGAAAGAATCAACCTTAAATGACTTGCCATCGCTGGGTTCCCATCGATATGTTAAAGTCCCCATCGCTGAGTAAGGTCATTCTACCTTGTGTTAATGTTCGACCAAGGCTTGAACAGCGATGGGTAGAACTTCCCATCGCTGTTTGGCATGGTTCTGGAATTCAGTTGGGCTGAAGGTCCGCTTACCCATCGATGGGTAACTCTTCCCATCGCTGGGTGGATGGTTAGCCAAAACCATGGGTTTTGGCCTTAACCATGGCCTAGCCAACCGATGCAAAAATCGACCGAAAAATCCAAAGTTCTACAAAATAAAAACCAAGTGTTTAAAACACTTGTTTGATGTATTTGGCTAAGAAATCAAGTGAGACACTTTAAAAACCACGGCTAGCCAAGTTTATGCCATTTTGCGTGGTTTTTGTCAAACGACCAAAAACGAAAGGTGGTTTTCAAAGTGTTTTTGTTGGAGAACTGTTTAAACATGCACAGAAGTAAAAACCAATGCCGATAACCAAATGCCGAATGCCGGTTTCTAAAAGCCGAATGCCGGTTTCTGAAAGCCGAATGCCGGATGGCTTGGTTTTTGGTTTGGGCGAACTCCAAGTGTTTTTAATGTATTAAATATGTTTGGAAAACATTTTTATGATATGATAAATGCAATAAAAGATTTTAGCCTAAAGAGCCAAGGGGTGAAGGTTGGGTCGGACTTGATCACAATTATGACTGACTCAACGATACTAAAGACTATAATCTTCGTTCTCCGTCTCTTTTAGCTCTTTCCCTCTTTCTTCTCATCTTTGGTTCTTGCCTTATATATTCAACGACTTGTCTCGTTCACGGTGGTTTGGCATTATCACAACCTGTCATAAAAACGAACACGGTTTTAGTACGAAGACGTGATAAACCCGTGTTTCAACAATTTCCCCCTTTTTGATAATGGCAAACAAGATGAGGTTATGCATAGGAGGATTGTTTTGAGATTTAAAAAATTGTTCCCCCTTAATAAATTCAATTTTATTTTCAGCAAAGTATTTGTGTTTTTATATAGTAAACAATTTGTTCCTTAAAAAAAATCCCCCTCAATCTATGCATAACCCTTATATCTTCCCCCTTTTGACATTAACAAAAAGAATTAAAAGTAAGCTTTTATTCATGAAAGGGAAATGCGGAATACAACAGAATGGAAATTAAAAAAATACAATCATATTAAAAATAAAGAAAAAGAAGAGTCTAGGAGTAGGCGTCCTCCTCGTCGTCTTCGTCCTCATCATCCTCGTCCATGGGATCGCCATCGACCGCGTCTTCAAAGTCGACCTCGTCCGGAGAGGAGGACGGAGCGTAGGAGTCATCGTCCTCATCCTCGCCTTCGAAGTTTTGGCTGAGGATGGTGCTGTCGAAAGGAGGCGGGACGTAGTTGATTCCCCGGAAGAACGCCGTCATGTCATGATGTTGGCGTTGCAATGTCCATTCCATCTGCTCCATGTATTGCCCCATGCCGTCCACCGTGAGGCTTAGCCGATTCAGGGTGTCGGCTATGGACTGCAAAGAGGCCCGGGCGGGAGCGGGAGCAGGGGCACGACTCGGTCCGGCGCCGTCTCGGTTTTCGGACTTCTTCTTGAAGGTGTTGTCGGCAATGACCCAGAGCTTCGTCATCTTCGTGCTTGGCCCGACGATGTGAATGTCGGTGGAGACGATGAGGTCTATGACGAGGAAGGCGTATGGCAAGCTCCGCTTGGTGGCGAGGGAAGCGCAATCCGTCATGTGAATCATGACGAATTTCACCCAATTGATGGAGGCGCCGTGCATGATGACATGAATCGCTTTCAAGTCCTCGTTGAAGAGCGATGTGTGGCTGCCATCCCGAGGGCAGAGAATCCGGGTGAGGATGTAGAGGAGGAGGCGCTTCTCCGGTGGGGCCGAGTGGATCGTCGGCGCCCCGCTGTGGCGGATGAGGTTGGTGTTCCCAAGCTCTCGAATGACCACCGCCTCGTTGTTGAGGATCCAATTGTCGCCACCGTACGTCGTGATGTCGTCACCTTGGATTGGCAACCCCGCGACCCGTGCAAAGGTAGGCAAATCAATCTCTATGTCGTAGAGATTAATGCTACTGTAGATGGTGTCGCCGTTGCGGTGGAGATTGGAGTAGAAGGCCCGGACGAAAGTGGGATTGTAGGACGTGCGGCTCTTGGAGACGAAGGGCCACAAACCCGACGCTTGAAGCTGGTTGTCGAGTTCATGATACCCCTTTTGTTGGGGGAACAACTCCAGGAGCACTCAAGGCAGAGAGATCGGGCGCTTGGCGAAGTGCGTGAGGAACCGGGTGAGTTCCTCCTCCGACCCGAACTCCAAGAAGGATCCGTCAAGGTATGGGAACGGTTGAGGCGTTGACGTCGTGGCTTCGGTAGGGCCTTTCTTCTTGGATGCCTTCGTCTTCTTTCCCCCGGCCATAGTTGAGGCGTTTTTGAAGAAAGAGGATGAATTTGGATGAATATGCTTAAGAGAATGAATGTTGAATGTAAATTGTGATTAAGAATGACAAGGGGTGATGAATATATATAGGGAGAGGGGAGATAACCGTGTGAATTCAAAAAATATGGCTGTTGGGAATTAAACTCGGTGCCCAATGGCCATGATTTTTTGAATTGCACCAGCCTTCCCAGCGATGGTAGGATCTACCCATCGATGGGAAGGTCGCCACTTGAAAGCAAGGAAGAGCCCAAGGCAGCCTTCCCAGCTATGTATGAATTCTCCCATCGATGGGAAGGTGGCTTCTGGAAAGTGAAGAAGTGAAGAAATAGGCCTTCCCAGCGATGTTAATACCATCCCATCGTTGGGTTGGTGGTTGTGGAAATCCGTTAAAAATTTAAAAAAAAATAGTGTCAAACACCTAGCGATGGGAGGAAGTTCCCATCGATGGGTGGGGAGGTTCTGGGAAATTTTTTTTAAACGAAAGTCATACACCCAGCGATGGTACAAAGTCACCATCGATGGGTAGTGGACTTCTAGAAATCCGTTAAAAAATTTTAAAAAAAGAGTCAATCACCTAGCGATGGGAGGATGTTCCCATCGATGGGAAGAGGAATTCTGGAAAGAAGAGACTACTCTCCCAGCGATGGTATGAACCCACCCATCGATGGTTCCCCCTGATTTCCAGATTTCTTCACTTCGAACCGTACCTGCAAAAAAGATTTAGAAAACCCTCCAACGCTCAAGTTAGTAAATGTTCAAGCAAAGATAAAGGAATAATAAAATGCACAAATTAGATCATCGTGGAGTCAAGGATTCCGAGTTCACTACGAATGCAGAAGAATGACTCTTTATCTAAAGGTTTTGTGAAAATGTCAGCTAATTGGTTGTGTGTTTCAACAAACTCAATTTCGACATCACCTTTGAGAACATGATCTCCAATGAAATGATACCTAATGTCAATGTGTTTCGTCCTTGAATGAAGAACAGGGTTCTTCGTCAAGCTTATGGCGCTAGTATTATCACAACGAAGTGGAACGTGATTGATACTAAGGGCATAGTCCACGAGTTATTGCTTCATCCAAAGGATTTGAGCACAACAACTACCAGCGGCAACGTATTCTGCTTTGGTTGTGGATAACGCAACACTGACTTGTTTCTTACTAAACCAAGAAACTAAAGAGCTACCAAGTAAGTGGCAAGTCCCACTCGTGCTTTTACGGTCCAACTTGCAACCAGCAAAGTTCGAGTCGGAATAACCAACGAGATGACAAGAAGAGCCTTTTGGATACCACAGTCCAACGTTAACCGTGCCAACAAGGTATTTCATGATCCGTTTCACCGCCGTTAAGTGCGGTTCCTTCGGACACGATTGATACCTTGCGCAAAGGCATACACTAAACATGATATCCGGCCTACTAGCGGTAAGATAAAGAAGGGATCCGATCATACCTCGATACTTTTTGACCTCTACTTCCTTACCTTTCTCCTCTTTGTCAAGATGGTCGGACGTGCTCATCGGGGTCGCCATGGCTTTGGCGTTGTCCATTTCGAACCGTTTTAGGAGTTCTTTGCAATACTTGGTTTGGCAAATGAATGTGTCATCTCTCATTTGCTTCACTTGAACACCCAAAAAGAACGTGAGCTCGCCCATCATTGACATTTCGAACTCGCTTGTCATTGACTTGGAAAATTCCTTGCACAAAGACTCGTTAGTAGCATCGAATATAGTATCGTCTACATAAACTTGAACCAAAAGGATGTTGTTGTTTTTACTCTTGATAAAAAGTATAGGGTCGACCTTTCCCCTTTGGAAACCACTATCCAAGAGAAATTTACTCAAACGTTCGTACCAAGCACAGGGTGCTTGTTTAAGACCGTAGAGTGCTGATAAGTCCGTTTCGTTCTTATCATTTACATCATATTCTAAACGTTATTGCACGTAAATAGTATTTAATCATCTCATAAAATGTGTTTTCGATGAATAAAACTCTCATTTTCGTTCTAAGAGTCATGAAAAGGGATTCGACATGAAATTATCATAAATCATCTATTTTATGTTCAAATACTTGAGAAAAAGGGAATAAATCATCAAGGGATCAAGATTCGGGCTTGAACGAGCTTCCGGGAGGTCAAAAACAGTGTTCAGGACCAAAACGGAGCGAAATTGGGCCAAAATCACGAAACAGCCGCGAAGCCCAACGGACCAAGGCCTCAAGGCGTCCAACTTGGACGCTTGGGAGTTGGATGCTTTGGCTTAATTGCAGCCCAAGAATGACACATGGCAAAATCTGGTTGGCCGCGACAGCTCAGGCGTCCAGATCTGGACGCTTGGACTTGGACGCCTTGGATTCGTTCCTATAAATACAGCACGATTCTTCTCATTTTGATCATCCATTCTCAACCCAATTTCGGGTTCCCCTCTCTCAATTGCTTAAAATACTTTTTATATTAGTTTTAGTAGTTAGTTTGAAGTATTTTTGGAGGTTTTGACCTAAGATCTGTTCTATTCCGCTTTTACGGAGGTTGTAAGTTTTCTTTATTTAATAAAATGCTATTTTAATTTATGTTTGCATAGTATGAGTTAGGGTCCGGATCTCTAGGTCCGAACTAGTGCGGTTGTTTATTTTTTTAATGTTGGACTGGTTAATCTATTGTTCTTGCCTTATTTAGTTATTTAATATCGGAAGATTTAATTAGATATTTATTGAGAAAATATTGTATGCCAAAAGGCTATGATATTCAAGTACAACGGATTAAGTACAAATCTAGAAATGGATGAGTAGTAATAGAAATATTATTATTCCAATTGTTAATTTAATATGATAAAATAGATCCAGATGATGTCTTGACCCTTGATAAGTCAGTTTCGTTCTTATGATTTACATCATATTCTAAAATGTTATTGCACGTAAATGATATTTAATCATCTCATAAAATGTGATTTTGATGGATAAAACTCTCATTTTTGTTCTAAGAGTCATAAATAGGGATTCCACATAAAATCATCATAAATTATCCATTTTATGTTCAAATGCTTGAGAAAAAGGGAATAAATCATCAAAGGATCAAGACTCGGGCTTGAACGAGCTTCCAGGAAGATAAAATCGACGTTCGGGCCGAAAATCAGTGAAATTGGGCCAAGATCTCGTAACAGCCGCGAAGCACAACGGACCAAGGCCTCAAGGCGTCCAACTTGGACGCTTGGCCAAGTTGGACGCTTGGAGTTGGACGCCTTGGCTGGATTGCAGATCAAGGAAGACACATAGCAAGCAGCGGATGGACGGGCCGCGTAAGGCGTCCAACCTTGGACGCTTTGGATCCGGACGCTTTGACTTGGACGCCTCGGCCTCTATCCTATAAATACAGCGCGATTCTCCCCATTCAACACATCACTTTCATCCCCTCTCTCGGGATTTGAGCTTATTATTACAATTTCAAATACTAGTTTATTATTATAGTAGTTTTAGAGTAATCTTTGGAGGAATTCTACTCCCAATCTGTTCTGTTCCGCTTTTATGGAAGTTGTAAGTTTTCTTTATTTAATAAAATGATGTTTTAATTTATGTTTGCGTAGTATGAGTTAGGGTCCGGATCTCTGGGTCCAGACTAGTGTGGTTGTTTATTTGATGTTAAATTAATATTGGAATGGTTAGTCAATTGTTCTTGCCTTAATTAGTTAATTAATACCGGAAGATTTAATTGACTATTTATTGAGGAAATATTGTATGCCAAAAGGCTATGATATTCAAGTACAACGGATTAAGTACAAATCTAGAAATGGATGAGTAGTAATAGAAATATTATTATTCCAATTGTTAATTTAATATGATAGAATAGATCCAAATGATGTCTTAACCCTAGGTCTAGATCTACACTTATACTGTGTAAACTTAATATATTATTTTTACTCTGCTCTTTTTATAATCGTTTCGAGAAGACTTTCATAAACCAATACTAACCTTCGCCTAGTTAGAGTAATTAAACTGATTCCCTTCGTCCACTCCTCGAGAGACACGACACTCGGAGAAAAAACTAACCCTTTACTTGGAAGGTTTACTACCCGGGGAGTGGCACGACATTAGTTTAATTTCTTCTAATTAGCTTGGGTGAAGATTGGTTAGAACAATCTTCTCACTTCTTTTCACCAACCACCCGTAATAATTATCATGGATAACTCTAATGGTTATTCCGGACCGCCTTCTTACTACCAATCACCCAACCGCCCTCCGTACCATCCACCTTACCACCCACATCAGAACCCATATGATGATGACTACCAAGTTGACAATGGGTCTGACTACTATCCCTACCATGAGGAACCACCATATGATACCCCGTCTAAAAACTTTGGATATTCTCCATGCCAAGATTCTGATGGGGATAATTATTATGAACCTCATGGTGATCACGATGACTATGACCACAACGGGCCTATTTACGACGATCAACCTGATCCTCTCGTTGAAGAAATAATAAGATTGGAACAGAAGATCTTCTATTTCGACGAGGTTTTATTCGCTGAAGGCTCCTGGTACGAACCTCCTTACTCCCGTGACTACACCTTGTTTGCTGAAGAACAAATTGAAGCAAACAAGGTGGCAATTCGAGAAAGAGCAAAACTTCTTGAATCAGTCCGGAAGGAAAAGGAGTTCGAAAGGAGATTATGTGAAGGATCAGAAATGATGCAGGAAATGCTGGACGACTTTCAAAGAGAGAGACTAGAAGCTGAGGATAAAGCTGATAAATTAGTCAATGATCTCCGCAAGGCTATTGAGCTTAAACGCTCCCTCCAACCTCAAGATCCACAATTGGAGGAAGTTAATGCTCAAAAAGAGGCTTTAGAACCTAAGACCAACCCTGAACCATCCAACCATCAGGTGCCAGTTCTAGAAGATTCACCAAGTTCTACACCATCACAGAAACCCGAGAGCATATCAACTCTTGTTGGGGCTACTGTGGTGATGTTACCCGAATACCCTCCAAGCCAAGTCTCAACCGGCACAGTCGTACAAGAGGTGGAACCAACTGAGGGACCTGACTCAGAACCACCTAGCCTTATTCAAGAAAAGAAGGAGGAGGAAGTTTTGCCTATGGCAATAAACGACCATCTCCTTAATTGTGTTGAAGACACACCTCCAGAGGAATCTGTTCTGGAGGAAATAGAGCCCATTACCTTCCCCCAAGATACCAATGTCCAAGAGTCCGAGCAGGAATCTACAGGCGAGGAAATACTTTGCATAGAAAAGCCAACTCCGTCTATAGAAACCTGTGTACGTAATGCTTCATCTGAAGACTCAGACCAAACCTTCTTTGACTCCCTACTTGACGGGTGTGACGATGTCTGCCCGAAGGATGGTTGGAGCTTAAGGAGTTGGGATGAACTTCTAATGAGTGACACTGAAGACTCATCCATGGGGGAAGGCACGATCATAATCATCAAACCACAAACAGATAGTCAGCCCGTTGAAGACAATGAAGAAATCAATCTCGCTATGAAGGCCAATGATGTGGATCAACTAAGGAGACTTCCGCCCCCACCCACATATACAAAGTCTCCTCCATATATCCTGTTGCCACCAAGCCGCAGGGATGAGTCATGGATCATGGACCTTGACCAAGCAAAATATCAAACAAGGTGGCACCAGAAGGGAGTCAGAAGGGCCAAACTTTATGACTCTCGGATCGGGAAGTCGCGGAAAAAGTGGGTGAGTGTCGAGCTACGGACGTTAAAGAAGCGCTTAACGGGAGGCAACCCGTCATTCAGATATTTAATTATTAAATATGCTTACTTATTATTTACTTGCCGCACCATTTGGGTGCAAGATTTTACTTGTTTTACTTTTCTATTTCAAACAGATGGATGTTGCTTGGATGATCCCGCATGGAAACCACCGCACATTACAGAATCTGGAAGAGCTCCCCTTGCACTCAGAAGAAGCAAGGAAGAAGTTTCTCACTTGGGGAAACACGAAGATGCTCCAGCCTCCCATGGTGCTGGACCCTGCCTATCTGGAAGAACTGGGGCACTGGCAGGACATTGATGAATTGCTGTACGACCCAAAATGGAGGATCCTGCTATTCCTGCATGCACCAGCCAGCCTGGAAGTCACCATTGAGTTTCTTTGCTCTCTCCGCTTCCTCAATGACGGAGAGGAAATAAAAACAGCAGTTGAAGTCACCTCCACCACCAAGGTCACGTTCACTCTGATGGGACGACTGCTGAACCTTACCGTGGCAGACTTAGGGTGGCTGATTGGTCTTTACACGCTTGATGAAACGCGGAGCCTGGCCTTCGCTAATCTGCCTGACCAGTTGGATCCAGAATTCGATGCTAGAAAGTTCTGGCAAGCTCATGGGCATGGTCGATTTCACAGTGGAGCAAGCTTAGCTAGGAATTGGGCACGACCGTCTTGGAGGATTTTGCACCAGGCATTGGCTCTTAGCTATTTCGGCCGCTCTCAAGAACCTGACGTTGTGTTTAATTCCGATATGTTATTTTTCTGGAGTCTGGAAGCTCGCGTTAGCGACTTTTGTGGCTCGATTCCTATTTGCTCAGTCAACTTGCAACCACCAGATCGTCTTGTGTGGGCCAATGGTTACGCTTCTGGCCCGAGGATTATGTATGTCCGTTCCCAATGTTCTTCCAGAAGCTGTAAGCATGTTCCGACCACCGACACAGTATTTGGCCCAGATTGTTTATAATAAGGAAGACAAGGAGGCACGTCCTAGAAGGGAGCATACGATTCCTATGACCCTTCGCGAGCTTTCGCAAGGTATGTTTGCATTTCAAGACTCTGTAGACTCTCGCTTAAGGAGCATGGAGACGCTCCTTCTCACGCAGCAGTGGCAGGTGGAGGAAATACTTGACTACGTCCGGGAACAGGGAACAAAGAAAGCCGAGCATGGGGCAGGTCCTAAACAAAGCAAACGTCAAGGATAGTGAGATCCTTAATTTTCCTATTACTACATTCAGAACAT